CTACGATGGAGTAAGTAAGCTATTGTGAAAAAGCTTGTCTCTTAACATCTCTCTCTCTCTCTCCCTCCCTCTCCCTCTCTCCCTCCCCCTCTCTCTCTCCCTCCCCCTCTCTCTCTCTCTCTCTCCCTCCCTCCCTCCTTCCCTCCCTCGCTCTCTCTCTCTCTCTCTCGTTCTCTCTTTCGCTGATGTTGCTTCGTCTCACTCCGTGTGAGTGGCACAATGCAAGGGGTGTCCTCGAAGTGCTGGAACAATTCCTCCACCGATTTGCCCAGGTCTTCCTGAAGCTGGCCAAGAATGACAACATCTTCCTGAGAAGGGAGGGGACGAAAGCCAGCCTCTGGCTTAGGGGGTGCCCTCAGGGTAGGCCCGGGCAAAGACTTGGCGCGCAAGAGGAAGCGATGGCGCGCAAAAGGACCTTCTGTCTCCAACGCTTGCTAATTTTCCTCCGTGGCAAGGCCGTTACTGGACTTAAAAGGGCACCCCATATGGGGTGGATGATGCGATCTGTTCCTGGGGGCAGGAGAGAGAAGAGATTGCAGCGGGCACCCCTAAGCCATTCAAAACCGCCTCCATCGCTTGCCCGCTGCAATCTCTTCTCTCTCCTGCCCTCCACGACGCAACCCAACAACTCCAAATCGTCTGCCTCCAGCGCTTGCTCGCTGACCCTCCACCTCCAACGCTTGCCAGCTGCAATCTCTTCTCTCTCCTGCCTTCAACAACCCCCCAATCCACATGAACTCCCACCACATAGGGAATGCCCTCTTCAGTCCGGTTCTCTCGCAGGCCCTCAACAGATGGCATCATGCACCCCATGTGGGTTGCCCTTTTCAGTCCAGCAACTAGACCTTGCTAAAAATGAAAAAAACTAGACCAAATTAAAAGGGCAACCCTAAGCTATTCAAGACCTTCTGTGTCCAACGCTTGCCCGCTGATCTCTTCTCTCTCCTGCCCCCAAATCCATGTGAACTCCCACAGCATAGGAGGTGCCCTCTTTAGTCCGGTTCTCTTGCAGGCCCTCAACAGATGGCATCATGCACCCCATATTGGGCGCCCTTTGAGTCCAGTAACTAGACCTTGCCACGGAGGAATAAGAAGGGCACCCCTAAGCAATTCAAAACCTTCCGCCTCCCTCCACCACGCAACCCAACAACTCCAAATCGTCTGCCTCCAGCGCTTGCTCACTGACCTTCCACCTCCAACGCTTGCCACACCAATCCACGTGAACTCCCACCGCATAGGGGGTGCCCTCTTCAGCCCGGTTCTCTCGCAGGCCCTCAACAGATGCCTCTTCTCTCTCCTGCCCTAACCCCAATTCACATAGGGGTGCCCTCTTCAGGTTCACTCGCAGGCCCTCAACCTCTTCAGTCCGGCAGCAACGCTAAGCTCAGCCGCAGCTCCAATCTATTCTCTTTCCATGGCCTCCTGAGCCCGTCGTGATGCTGATGATGCACTCTTCGCCGCCGTCACTTGCATCACTGGCATCACAACACCCCTCAAACCACTCATTGTTCACTACCAAGTGGCCCACGCTCTCTGAAATTGGCCCTCTCGCGACCACCCCCCCCACACCCCCTTTACTCACTTCGTTCGCTCCAACAACCTCAAGCCCTGCCTACGGCTGGCTTTCGTGATATTAATGCATAGAATATATATTAACCAACCTAAGAGCGATGGCCTCCAACCGAATACCGATCGCCTCCATCTATATTAACATATATATATATATAAGTAGTTGAAAGTTTGAACAAAAATGTCTTAGCCGATAAAATGAATCTCTCCTCGATTGTCCTCTTTGTAGTGTGAAAAGGTGCCGCTGGCATGGCATCCCGCAGCTTTCGGAGTTCTGCCAAAACTTCGTCTGGCCACTTGTCACCTGATTGACAAAAACAAAGCCTCCACTAGGCTATCGGTTCTCTCTCTCTCTCTCTCATCTCCAGAAAAATTGCATTGCCATTTGTAAAAGCTTGCGTTCAGCATGCCGAACTCCTTTCCAGAGCTCAGTCAAGCTGCCTTGCGTGCTCATGTACTGCCCTACCTTTGGCCAAACACCTCCAAGCTGTCGCAAGCCCCGAGCACCGAGGAATGCTAACACCCTGGCCACCAGGGTTCCAACAAACTTCGGTGTAGCCATTTGGACAAATTTTGGGTTCGAAACACCTACAGTTGCGGTTTTGTTCAGCAAAAGGATTGTGAAAGGTTTGTGGGTTATTCAACCATCCGATTGTCCGGCACGGGTCTTGGAACAGGCTCAAGCTCAAATCAGCTCGCAATCGACAGAGATAGTCTGAAAGCACCAAAATCAGCTGGTTTCAAGCTGTTCAATGCTGAGGAATTCTCCTGCCCCAATGGCACCTGTATCGGGCGCTGAGGAATCGTTTGGCATCTTCTTCGCAAAGCCGTTTTGCCTCCCAAGTGCTCTGCATGTACTTCCACAGGACCAACACCTGGGGGGTGAAATGGAAGGCAACCGCACATCTTTCGCTGGAAACTTTGGACCCCCTCACATCGCCAAGCCCCAGGCACATAGCCACAAGGCTCGCAATTGGCGGAAGAAACACATTCTGGCAAGCAGGGGCAGCTCAACCAGCTGGGCACAAAAGTGTGCTTCAATGCACTCTGCTCAATCGTGCCTTGCCTATACCGTACCGTTTATGTCTCCACCTCATGGTAACCTAGTCAGGATCCTTCCTGGCACTACGGAGCAAACCTCGTCACCACAACCAGGATTGCATTTGCCGCGAGGGTCTGCCGCCAACCGCCAGCTGCCAAAAGCAGCCCGGACGCGGCTGCTAAGAGACAAAGGAATGCCTTGACATCGCAAACTAAAGGGTTCGCATAATGTTGTGCGCACAACGTGTTTGGCAGCGGCGGTGATCATGACACCTGTTGTGATTCGCACCCAAATTTATACAGGCTTGGAGCCACGTTGCTTTCTGGTTGAAGAGACTTGAGGGCAGATGCGGGTGGACAAAAGGTAGCCACAAAATGAAAGCTGAGTTTTGGTGAGAGGATGACATTGGAACCACTGAAGCGACGAGGCCGGGAAATGTGCTCCACAATCTTGAGAAACAAGGCCGTCTTCAATACACAAAGCAAAGCTGAAACATGTTCCACAGGGAGAGCTGTTGGTAAAAGGTGGGTTGGAATGAGTTGCTAAAGCAAGGGAACTCAAGTAGCTGGGACACGACCCGTTGCCATGCACTAAGAGGACGCTTCGGGCACTGGGGGGTTCAGAAAGAAGTACTGGTAAACCAAAGAGAAGACAAAGAAAACAAGTACAAAGCAGGGGAAAAAGCTTGGAGGCAAACGCAAGGCAAAAGATGAGCCCATCCTAGCTGTGGCAGCAATGAGTGCCAACGAAATGGCCTGCTCAGACGGACGGCGGAGGCATCAGCCATGAGCTCGTCAAAGTGGGAAGTAAGGACTTCTAGGATTCTAGTATATAAGCCCCACAACTTTCAGCTATTGGACAAGGGTCATGGTGAAAGGCTCAGCGTGTTCGAACGAATCAGAGAACTGAAAAACCCTGAGGAAGGGCTGCTTCTGCAGATTGGTGGCATTTGCAGTGCCCAGTAGTTCTTCGGCTTCGCGCTGTGCAGCTGCAGCCTCCACCTCTTCCAAACGCTGCTCGAGCAACCGCACTGACGCCGAAACATCCTGACTTGCAAACAGATTAATTGAATTGATCATTAAACACATCCGACTGCTACTTACCATATTGAATCCAGTTGAATCGCTCCTCGCGCAGCGATCGGCTCTGCAAGCCCGTCGCGCGGCACTTGTCACACTGTCGTGCATCAAGGCCTGGGTGTGACGGAAAGGCACGGTCAAAAACATGATGAAGCACATCGCAACACCTGTAGAAGTAAGTAAAAGAACTTGAAGTGCTTTTCCATTTACATATTTCACAGCCTCAAGATGCCAAATGGGCCCTTTCCTAGGAGCACTTTCCTGAGAATATGTTTGGTATTTGCTCACCTTCCAAGATGACATCGCAGTACAGTAACTGTTTCCATGCGCCTCGGCACCCACAAAAAAACATGCCACACAGGTATGCACTGCGACCATTTTTGAGCAACCCACCTGAGCGATATGGACTGCATCGATCACAGAAAAGCTGGCCACAGCTTCTGCAATGATGCCGGCGCCTCCGGGGCGCAGTGCTATCAAGAGAGAGAGAGAGAGCGAGCGAGAGAGAGAGAGAGATTAAAAAAATAGACGGCAGATGGCCCGACACCGTTTAGGTGTAGATCTACTCTGGTGATCTCTGGTGTAATTACTCTGGTGTGAGGCATGCTGGCTTCGCGATGGAGGAGTAAAGTATATATATATACATACATGAGAAAAAATACAACGGCATAGACCTCAGATGGCGGATGTTTCGGGAAAAAACTCATTGCCTGATGTTTGCAGTGCAGTAGCCGTTTTCCACGCACCCGGCGAGAAGTTCTATTTCGTTTCGATCAGTGAGGGGTGGAAAAAGAACTGATCCAGCACCGGCAACAGCACCTGCACCAGCAGGAGCAGCAGCAGCAGCACCTGCACCTGCACCAGCACCAGCACCACCGGCACGCCCCAAGAAAACGCCGATCCAGCACCAGCACCTCCACCGCACCAGCACGCCCCAAGCAAACGTCGATCCAGCACCAGAACCCGCGCCAGCACCCAGCAACAGCACCCGCACCCGCAACAGCACCTGCACCAGCACGCCCACTCAAACGCCGATCCAGCACCAGCCCCAGCACGGGCAAAACGAAGCGCCGATCAACAACCACACCCTTGAGAAATAAGAACCCCCACGGCTTGCAGCTATCCGGGGGATGAAATGAAAAGAGCGGTTCACAGGAGGAGGGAAGCAAAGATGTCTTCCAGTCGGAGGTCGCGTGGCTTTGCACGCGTTTTTGCAGTACAATGTTTGGATTCAGGTCCTGCCCCAAAGATGTCGTCCAGTTGAAGTTTAAAAAGGTTTGTGTGTGTTTTTGCTGCGGGCGTTTTCATGGTAAAATGTGCGGGGGCAGGTTCTGCCCCAACAATGTGTTCAAGGCAGCGTTTATTTCAAGGCTTACGCCTAACAGCCGGGCGCCGGCCCACTTGGGTGTGTGGGGCGTATGTCACGCCTATGTTGGCCTTGGTGGGGCCCGGTGGGGCCTATATTGAGCAAAGTTAAGCTATCTGGTGCGCATCTTGGCCCTAGGTTGGGCCAAGTGCGGCCCATGTGGTGTATGTTGGGCACATCTTGGGCCCATGTTGAGCCTATGTTGGGCCTATGTTGGCCTATGTTAGGCCTACGTTGGCCTATGTTGGCCTGAGTTGGGCCTATGTTGGGCCTATGTTGGCCCCATGTTGGCCTATGTTGGCCCTATGTTGAGCCATCTTGGAGGCTATGTTGGGCATATGTTGGGGATATGTTGGCTATCTTGGGCCTATGTTGGGGATATGTTAGGCAATTTATGTTGAAAAAATCTTCCGAGACAACTTTTCCGATTTTTCCTTCCCGCAAAGCAAAAACACTGGAAAATCTCACGTTTTTTGACATCGCCAACATAAAATTCTCGGCTGCCGGTCCCCCCGTTTTGGTGACGAGGGTCGGCGGCAGGGGGCGCGCCCGTATATAACCTTCGGTTACCACCGAAGGCCCTCCGGGCATGCCACGGGCGTCCTGGCCGGCGCCCGGATTTATATACAGGGTAATGTGCAGTTGTACAGTCAAGTGTTTGGGCTCACCCCAAGTGCAGGTTTGTTGCCGTAAAATGTTTCGATTCAGGCATTACCGCACCCCAAAGATTTCTTCAAGTCGATGTTTATAAATACGGGTCTGTGCATTTTCGTGACAAAATGTGCGCATTCAGGTCAGTAGAATGTGTGGACCCAGGTCTTGCAGGAAAGGCATCTCCAAGGTTACGTTTATGCAGGTTTGTGTGCATTTTTGCCGCGTACAGGTCTGCGTGCATTTTGGTGGACAAAATGTATGCGTTCACGTCCTGCCCCAAAAATGTTTTCAAGGTGGTGTTTATACAGGCTTACGCGCAGCTTTAAAGTACAATGTATGGGCCCAGGTCTTGCCCACAAGATGTCTCCAAGGCTGTGTTTTTGCAAGTTGTCTGGATTCAGGTCCTGCCCCAAAGATATCTCCCCATGGATATTTATCTAGGCTTGCGCGCATGTTTTAAGTAAAATGCGTGGATTTAGGTCCTGCCCCAGGAAGTTGCCACAGTGTGTACTTGAGAGACCAAGTCCTGATTGTAATGCATTCTTACAGCAAGGAGAACTCAGGTCGCCTGAGGCTACCTTGCGGGAACTGTCATCGCAACAGCCGTTGAAAATGAAGGTAGAAGCGTGTAACTGTCGTCGAAAGCGAAGATTGATGTTGCCCATAGGTGGGCGTTGCCCAAGGACATACAGTAAGTGTTGTCGAAAACAAAGGTGGAAGTTGCCAAAGCGGGTAGCTGCCGTCGGAAATGAAGGTGGAGGTTGCCAAAGTGTGCGATTTGTGTCGAAAAACACAGGTGAATGTAGTCCAAATGCAGCTGTGGCATCAGAACTGGCAACTATGTAGTGCGAGCGTAGTGCGGGAAGCAGCTTGGGCAGGAACTGAGCCCACACATTTTCTGGTAAAAACGTAAAAACACACATAGGCCTGCGTAAAAGACACTTGACATGCATTTCGTGCCAGGGTTTCGTGCAAAAAGGTTGCCGCCGACAATTTACACTAAAACCGCTATGTTCCCTCAGCGGTTGTCACTTGACAGGCATTTTGTGCGAAAAGGTTGCATTTCGTGGCTCGACGGCACCACCCCCGGCCTAAGAAAGAAGAAGAACAATATATAGCGAAAGCGAAGGACAGAGAGAGAGAGAGAGGAAGAAGCGAAGCGAAGCGAAGAGAAGCGAAGAGAAGAGAAGCGAAGAGAAGCGAAGAGAAGCGAAGAGAAGCGAAGAGA